CACAGGCCGGGGCAGGGGGGAGAGGATGAGGGTCCCAGCTGGAGGCGAGGGGCTCCGGGAACACACTGGCAGGCAGTGGCTCTGGTGCCAAGTCCTGTCTGCTGCCTCCAGCTTCTGTACAGGCTCAGCGAGACATCATTCGCACAAACTCTGCCAGAACAAAGCCAACGTTTTCTGGTCTGCTCTCTGAACTCCCCAGGAGTGAGGCTAATATACTGGCCTTGAGGTGGGAGGGAGTGTGGTCAAGACAGGGCGTGCAAGGGAGTCCCCTGAATCTGGTAGCGAATAGGCCAGGAAGAGGGGCTTCATCTTACAGGGAAAAAAAAACAAATCTTGTAACTGAACCTATTTTCCTCTTTGCTTTGGCTGCTAGGAAGCCAGGAACACTCTGGGGCCTACCTTGGAGAATTTCTACACACTGATTTTCCTTGGCTTCCTATTCTTATTTAATCCTTTTTTCCCTCTTTTGGGAATGAAGCATAGAGAAAGAGCTGGGTTCTGGGTAGGCTGCCCGCATTCAGATCTTGACTCCATCCACTTCTTTTGCTAAGCACTCACGCTTCCCTAAGAACCGACTTTCTTCTCCTGCTTATGGGGATAAGAGTTCCTTCCTTCTGGGTTTTCGTGATGATTACCTAGGAGAGGACATAGGCGTGCTTAGCACGGCGCCTGGCACACACGGATTAAGGCTCTTCCTCCGTTAAAACCCTCCCAGGGCGAGCGGTGCTGAGCTTGGTGAGCGGTGGACGGTACCTTCAAAGTCGACCAGGCCGTCCCCGTTGAGGTCAATGTCACGGAAGATCTCGTCCACCTCCCGCTGGCTGAGCCGCTCTCCCAGCAGGGCCTTCAGGGCCGCCCGGAGTTCACCCAAGCTGATGCAGCCGTCCCCGTTGGTGTCGAACTGTGGCGGCGTTGGTTGCGGCATCAGGTCACAGACCGAACCGTTCATTCGTGCAGCCCCTCACTCCCAGCAGACAAGCAGGCCCCGCCCCCTCCAGCCCCGGTGACCCCACCTCCCGGAAGGCGTCCCGCAGCTCCCGGACGCCAATCATGTCCGCAGTCTCCGCCAGCAGCTTGGGGCCCATCAGCTCCACAAAGTCGTCAAAGTCCACCTTCCCGCCACCTGGGGGCCACGCCCATCAGAGACCTGGGACCATCAGAGACCCCTGCCCAGCCCTGGCGCCCTCTGCCTTTGGTCCTCCCCTTCTGGCCTGTGTCCCTCTCCCCTGCCCCACTAAGTGGGCCTTTCCCTCCCTCTGGGTCTCACAGGCTGGGTCATCTGTGTCTCCTGAGGGCTTTTCTCAGTTTTTCTGAGTAGTTCAGTTGGGTTCAAGTCCTGGCTCCAATGTTCTGACTTTGTGACCTTAAGCAAGTCACTTAACCTTTCAGAGACTCAGTGTGGAGAATTTCTACACATTGATTTTCCTTAGCTTCCTATTCTTATTTAATCCTGTTTTCCCTCTGTTGGGAATGAAGCATAGAGAAAGAGCTGGGTTCTGGGTAGGCTGCCCGCATTCAGATCTTGGCTCCAACCACTTCCTTTGCTAAGCACCCACGCTTCCCTAAGAACTGACTTTCTTCCCCTTATGGGGATAATAAGAGTTCTGCCCTCATCTAAAAAGTGGGCATGATGGTCCTTGACTCACCCACATCCTAGGGGATGGTGAGATTCTCTGGAGGCAGAGAGCTTGCCTTGAGAATGACCAAGGTCCCGAGCTCTGGGGGCCAACCTGTGTAGACACCTCTGTTCCCTGGGCTGCCCAGCTGCCCTGGCCATGGGCATGGCCTCTGGAGAACTGGGGGTGGGGCAGGTCTCAGGCACATACTGATTTGCTGTGAAATCTCGATGAGCTCCATCTCCGTGGGCATGTAGCCCAGTGTCCGCATACAGGCTCCCAGCTCCCGGTAGCCGATATAGCCGTCCCGGTCTCGGTCAAACTCCTGGAAGGCGGCCTGCAGCTCTGCCAGGCAGGGCAGAGTCAGTCCTTCCCCCACGTCCCCCTGGACCCCATCCTGGATTGGACCTTCTCCCCTTGGTCCAATCATTTCCTCTTTCTAAACACCCATTTCTCTTTGCTGCCTCAGGGCCTTTGTACATGCTATTCCTTTAATTCATTCTGCAAATATTTAAGGAACATCTGCTATGTGCCAAGCTCTGCTCTGGGAATATGGCAATGAAGAAAGAAAAAGAGAGAAAGAGAGAAAGAGAGAAAAAGAGAAAGGGAGAAAGGGAGGAAGGGAGGAAGGGAGGAAGGAGAAAGGAAGGAAGGAAGAAAGGAAGGAAGGAAGGAAGAAAGGAAGGAAGGAAGAAAAGAACGAACGAAAAAGAAAGGAAGGAAGGAAAGGAGAGGGAGAAACAAATCCTTGACCTCATGGAGCTCACATTCTGGAACACTCTCCCCTCCTCTTTGGTCCTTAAGTCACCTAATCAAGGAGGTCTTCCCTCTCAGTTCAGTCCCCTCTGGCCCATTTGTTCACTTCCTTGAGAGCACTTAGCACCATTTGTACTTGTAGTTGACTTATTGACATCTGACTCCAGAGGACACAGGCCATATCTGTCCAGTTTGTCATGTTTCCCAGTGCTCAGCACTGGGCCAGGCACACAGTGGGCACCCAGGAAGTGTTCACTGAATGAACAAATAAAAAAAGGGGACCGTGACCCACCTGGCAAGTGGGACCAGGGAAGTGAGAGCTGGGGGTTCTCTCAACCCCTCCCTGCTCAGTCTTGTCCCCATATTCTCACACGGATCTCCTGCGGAGCCTGCTCAGGCCCCCACCCAATGCCCCGCACTCCGGAAATTCTAGTTCTTTCCCCAACCCTTTACCTTCAATCTCCTCTGGCCGCAGCTCCCGGTCCTGAGGGGACACAGAGGGGTTAAGAATTCCCTGGACCCCCCAGGCACCTGCATCCCTTCCTTCTTGTCCTTTGGGGCCCCCTACAACATGCAGGCACAGGGCCAGCAGTGACACTGCTCCGACCCATTCCTCCCACCATTTCTGTTGATGGACCTGGGCACCTGGCCACTCTTCCCTGTCCCCCGTGCCCACCCTCCTCTAGGGCCGGAGCTCCATTAGCCAGAGATGGATCTGGGGTTGGGCAGAACCTTGGGCTTGGCCATGGGGGCCTCAGTGTCAGCACATGTCTCTCTTGTTCTCTCTGTCCCTCTCCTGGGAGCCCTGTCCCCTCCCTGACCATCCTCTTGGTGGCCGTCTCTGCCATTTCTCTGGATTGCTCTCTGCCCCCTTCTCTTTCTTTCCTGGCATGTTTCCCTGGGTCTCCCCCGTATTTGATCCCATGTCTGTTTCTCCACTCCCCTCTGCCCCTTACACCCCTGAGTCTGTGTGCTTTGCTCTGAGATCCCCACTCAATCCTCTCCCTCCACTCAAGGAGAAGGTGGGCACGGGCGGCAGGCGGGTGGTGACCGTACATACGGGCTGAGTGGCGGCGATGCTGGGCCGCAGGAAGATGCAGGCAGGCCCCACCAGGCTACTGAGCACGGAGCAGCAGCCCCTGCTCCTCGGGGCTGGGGCCCAGGCCATGGCGGGACCCCCTTGGCGGGGAGCCAGGCCACTGCCAGCAGTCCTGCAGCAGAGCCGGCCATGAGCTGGGACAGTGACCCCTCTCCCCACTCCCTCACCAGCCTCTCCCGTCGTTAGAACCCAGCACAGAACAGTGGACCCTCACCATCAACAACACTCTATGCTGGAAGGGTCCACCCCCTCACTGTTCAGTTGGGCAAACCGAGGCCCAGAAAAGGCAAGAGACTTGGCCACGGTCACTCAGAAAGCCAATGGCAGAGTGAGCCCCTGAGCTCATGTGCTGAGTCTCCCAGGCCAGGACTGACTAGCAGAGGGCAAGGGTAGCTGCAGGGATAGGGCAGTTGAGTGGGCAGCTGGGGGGCCTGACAAGCTTTGGCAGGGGAGGCCCAGTGGCCTGCAGGAGCCAAGACCAGGATGGGCCAGAGTCTGGGGGCTGCCAGGGAAAATCTCGGTCTAGGGTGGGGGGAACCCACCCCTCCATCCCCCAGCTGTGCTATAACCCCAGCTCAGCCTCTCACAGGGCTCTGCCCCCCGCCCCGCCACCAGAACCTTTCAGGGTCCAGGAAGCCTCCTGGCCTTGGCTTTCCCCCTTGACACTCCTACCTTAGGCCCCCGGTGTTGGGGCCACTTGGCACAGTTTCCCATGGGCCCTTGAACCATGCCAGGCCTGGAGTCCCGGGGGTAGCCCAGGGCTGGGCCTCAGCGGATGCTGTGGTCTCCCAGTAGCCCCCAGCCGCTCCCAGTGAGAGTCTGGGAGCACTGCAGGGGATTTTCCTAGGGTTTTGTAGGGGAGATTGGGCGTGGGTGGGCAGGCGGGGAGCCCTGGGCACAGGGGCTTGGGTCCTAATCTGGGATTATCTCTGAGCATCTCTGCTGGTGAGGGGGGCCACTCGGGGCATAAGGCCCCCCTGGAAGGCACAAACTCCCCAGGCTCACTCCTGAGGGTCTTCCAGACACCCCCTCTCCAGGACCCTCTCCCCCAACCACTACCCCTTATCTCTTCTAATCAGGAGAGATTTAATATCTTCAGAAGCAGGGCCCGGACCTGGGAGGAGGAAACCAGGTGGCTTCTGTGCTAGAGCAGGCTGGGTCATCTCTCCCCAGAACAGCAGACCCAGGAAGCCCCTGGCTCTCCCTGCCGGACCCTTGCTCTCACCCCAGAGCATCCACCCAGCCAGTCTGCCCTCGGCACACCTGCTTGGACCTGCCCCTTGCCCCCTGTACTTGGGCAAGGAGCCGAGGGCAGCTGACTTTGGGCTCTGTGGGCTGGAAGCAGGCCTCAGTGAGGGCAGAGGCGGGGAGGGATGCCAGCCTCCCTCCTGGGCAGCTGAGTGACTGCTGACCCCTCCGTCACTGTGCACATCCGAGGTCCCCTCCCTGGGCTCAGCCCTGGGTTGGTCCAGCGGGCCCCGGTTGGGGTGTGGCATCCCCACTGTTCCCTCATGGTCCCCCAGTTGAGGATGGCCCCATACCCTGGTCCCCTTTACCTGCCCGTAGGCAGCCTGCACCTGGGTCTCCAGCTCCTGGAGGAGCGCCCGCCGTCTGGTGGCTGCTGGGTTGGCAGGGGTCTGGCTAGGCCCCGGAGTGCCCTCGGAGGGGCTGGGGTCCCCCGTGGGGAGGCTGCCATCTGCCGGGCCCTGGGGAAGGGCCATGGAGACAAGGGCTTGGCACCTCCTGCTGGCTGCGGGGCACTGCCCACTCCGCTCCCCAGAATCCTGTGGAAGGACACTTAGTGGGCAGCTGTGGACGTGGTCCCCACAGGGTCCCTGCTACTCTTCTCTCTGTCCCTCGCTCCACGGGCTGATGGCCCCCAGGTCCTCCAAGGCTCCCGTCTTTCCTAGCTCCCCAGGCCCCTCACACAGCCCCTCCCTGAAATCCTAACCTTCCCCTGAGCTGCCGCCCTCATGCTGGCCACAGACTGTGCCCCGGGGCCCCTCCGCATCACACCGGCCTCTCTGGTTCCTGGGCTCTGTGTCTCCCCACATCCTCTTCCACCTCTGATTCTGTGTTGTTCTCTGCCCCTCTCTGCCCCCTCTGCTCCGTGGGTGTCTCTCTTTGTCCATCTCACCTGCCCTCCCCTCTCCACCCCCTGCCCTCTGCTGACAATCTGTCCAGCTGTGTCTCTGTGGGTCTCTCTGCCCACTCATGCCCCATTTCTTTGTCACTTCCCTCCTTCTGTTGCGTGAGACTATTTCTCACATTGGTCTGTCTGTCTTTCTGTCTGTCCATCCTTGCCCTTCCTATTCTCCCCACCATCCCCCTTCCCAGGATGGCTCCTGGATTCTGGAAAGACTGTCCCCCCCCAAGCCCTGCCCCAGACCTCCCCCATTCTCCCCACCCAGAGCCCCAGGCTACCTCTGCACCTCCCACCTAGCTTCTGCCGACCTCGTAGGCTAGGCAGCCCGCCGTGGCCTCTTGTGCCCCCTTGCTATGCCCCGGCCCACTTACCGCGCAGCTGCCTGCCCCTCACCTCCCCGAATGAGGTCAGTTGTCCTGCCCCGGCCCTGCTCCAGGCCCCTCATGATTTATTCACCTGCCCCCCGCATCAACCTTTGTCCAAGGGAACCAGATCCCACCAGACACCTGCCACCTGAGCTGGTGGCTCTGGCCTCTTTCGGCCACTCACGGCCATCCATTCATGTATTTCTTTTGCAAACATCCGAGGTCTGCCGGGATCCAGCCCCAGGCCAGCTGCTGGGGCCACATGACAGACCCCGTCTGCCCTGAAGTCCCTGCTCTCAGGCACATCTAATTCAGAAAAGGGCCAAGAGACAGCCTCCAAGTGCTTGGGGGCACAGACTCAGGCATCAGGAAGGCTTCATGGGGGAGAAGCGGGGATGGGGCGGCATTCTAGGCGTTGCCCACCAATGTTTAACTTGGTCCTGGGCAAGCTTCAGCATCCCCGGCAGGGATCAGCTGTGAACGGGCGGGCGCCGGCATTCAGCAGGGTCTGTGGGTGGAGGCCCACAGGAGGGAGGCAGGGTGGTAGTCCCTGGAAAGGGTGATGGTGGCAAGAGGCTGGAGGAAACTTCAGAGACTGAGTCTTCAGCAAATGTTGGTGAAGCCCCTGCTGTGTGCCTTCCCGGGTGCTGGGAACCAGTCCCTGCCTCAGGCCGGCTGTGGAGGAGCAAGGGCAGGGGAGGGCCCGACAGGCAGTCAGGGGGACCCTGCGGTGATGGGGGCTGAGGCAGTGACCTGTGGGCCAAGGTCAGAGGGATGAAGGGAGTGACCACATGCAGATGGGTGGCCATGCGGGCAGAGGGGACATCCTCCACAGAGCCCTGGGCAGGTCTGAGGGTCTAAGGAAAGGCCAGGGTTGAGAGGCGAGTGGATGCCGGCCGGTGGTCTAGGGTGGGAAGGGCTCATTGTGACCATTCACACTGATCATTTGGAGGCTCAGCTTCAGCATCCTTCAGCCCCTCTGCACCCCGGGTCACATCTCCTCCCGGAGGCCAGGAGTGCACTGCATCCCCGGAAGCACGGCAAACATCCCTCAGAGACAGGAATGCTCCTGTTTTCTGCAAGGTCATAGAAAGGGCCTGCAGGCCTGGGTTCCCCCATGCATTTGCTGTGTGACCCTAGGCAAGGTATTTCACCTCTCTGAGCCTTAGTTACCTTATCTGGAAAGTGGAGATGGACCTAGTATCTGTCTCATGGTGGCTTTGTGAAAATTAAATGATAAAAGGCCTAGCAGGTTCCCAGCACATAAGAAGCGTTCAAAAAATGGTGGATGTCACATGTGATGAAAGATTCCATGTCTAAATAACCATCTAAGAAGGTGGGAAGTGTTGAGAAATGTGTGTCCCAAAGTATAAGCCAAAGGAGTGGGAACTACAGCTGGTCAGGGAATAGTGGGTAGAAATATTTTCAATGAAGGAGCAAAGCCTTCGTGTCCAGCTCCAGTGTCCAGGATGGCCAGGTGGATCAGTGGTGGACAAATGAATGGATGGATGGTTGGGTGGGTAGGTGGGTGGTTGGATAGGTGGGAGGCTGACTTGATGGATTGGTGTTTGAATGGTTGGTGCTTGGAAGGATGGACAATTGAGTAGCTGGATGGATAGACGGACAGACGGATGGATGGATGGATGGATGAATGGATGGACAGGTGGGTTGCTGACTGGATGAAAGGATAGGTAGGTGATGTGATGGGCTAGTGGTTAAACGGTTGCATAGACAGATGGACAGTTGGCTGGATGGATAGGTGGGTGAATGAAAAGATGGATGGATAGACAAGTCGAGGATGATTGGGTAGGTAAATGAGTAGTAGGTGAGTAAATGGAGAGGTGGATGTCTTTCGTTCATTTTTTTTTTTTTAATTTTTATTTATTTATGGCTGCGTTGGGTCTTCATTGTTGCGCACGGGCTTTCCCTAGTTGCGGTGAGCAGGGGCTAGTCTTTGTTGCAGTGCGCGGGCTTCTCCTTGCGGTGGCTTCTCTTGCTGCAGAGCATGGGCTCTAGGCACATGGGCTTCAGTAGTTGTGGCACGTGGGCTTCAGTAGTTGTGGCTTGCCGGCTCTAGAGCGCAGGCTCAGTAGTTGTGGCGCATGGGCTTAGTTGCTCTGCGGCATGTGGGATCTTCCAGGACCAGGGCTCAAACTTGTGTCCCCTGCACTGGCAGGCGGATTCTTAACCATTGCTCCACCAGGGAAGTCCCGAGAGGTGGATGTTTTGATGGACTGCTGGTCTAATGTTTGGTTGTTGGATGGCTGAATGATCGGGTAGATGGGTATATGGATGGACAGATAGAGAGGTGGAGGTGGGTAGATGGCTGGGTGGATGGACTGCTGGTGTAGGTCTTTACAATCTTCATTCAAAGAGTCCATTAGGCTGGAGACCATATCTTATCTATTTCAGTGTCTCCCATGATGTCCAGCCCACTCATTGCTGAGACACACTAATTAATGTGTGAATAAAGATTTTTTTCTTTATTCACCTATCCACCCAGGAAGTGGGGACTTCCCTGGCGGCCCAGTGGTTAAGACTCTGTGCTTCCAATGCAGGGGGCTCGGGTTCGATCCCTGGTCAGGAAACTAAGATCCCACACGCTGCACAGCACAGCCAAAAAAATAAATAAATAAAAATAAAAACAAAACCCAATAAGAATTTCTAAAAAAAAAGATGTGTCTATTTATCTCCTCCTACTCTGAGCTGAGCTGTGATTCCTCTGATGGCAAACGACGTCTCCTTCTCTACTCCGTTCCCTACAAGCCAAACCCAGGCTTGGCACCTGGTAAGCACCATACACAGATCCATATTGAGACACCACCTCACGCTCACCAGGATAGCTAAAGTGAAAAAAGACAGACAATAACGATAGGTGAGGACCTGGCGAAGTTGGAACCTTCACATGCTGCTGTTGGGTTTATAAAATGGTGCAGCCACTTTGAAAAAGAGTTTGGCAGTTCCTCAAAATGAGTTACCATATGACTCAGCAACTTCAGTCCTCGGTATATACCCAAGGGAATTGAAAACATCAGTTCACGCAAAAATGAAAAAAAAATGTATACAGCAGTGTTACTCATAGTCAAAAAATGAAACAATCCAAATGTTCATCAATGTATAAATGGGTAAGAAAAATGTGTACATCCAACCGATGGAATATTATTCGGCCATAAAAACGAATGATGTACTGACACGTGCTACAACACAGATGAAGCTTGCAGACACTCTACTAAGTGAAAGCAGCCAGACACGAAAGGACACATAGTGTATGATTCCATTTACATGAAATGTCCAGAAGAGGCAAATCCATGGTGACAAAGTAGGTTAGTGGTTGTCAAGGGATGGGGGAGTGGGGTTGAGGAGTGATGGCTAATGTGTACTGGGTTTCTTTTCAGGGTGATGAAAACGTTCTGAAATTAGTGGTGATGATTGCACAACACTGAATATACTAAAAACCACAGAATATACCCTTTATAAGGGTGAATTTTATGTAGCAATAAAGCACATATATATTTTAAAACCCACCAAAGACAGGTGCTGATATATACATGGACTGGAGGTGGGGGATGGACACAGCGAGGTGCCTGCCTCATTTGGCTTCTCAAGCTGTGTTTCTGGGCCCCAGAGGAGGAGGCCATAGGGTGGCCACAGAGCTAGACCACAGGCTGGGCCAGTGGAGCCACAGGGCTGTGGGTAAAAGCAGCCACTGAAACACCACAGCAGAGTGTCAAGCCAGCCCAGCGGACAGCTTCTCCAGGGGACCCGAGGAGTATGATAGCTGGAGGGTGTGTGAGCTGGCAGGAGGCTGGCCAGCTGGATGGCAGGGTGGCTCCCACGCTCCCAGGTCTGTGATGCTTGTGCACAAAAGGAAAAAGGAGCGCATGCGTGCTCCAGGCCAGAGCAGGTGGCGGAAACTTTCTGAACCTTGGTGTCCTCTTCTGCATAATGGGAACAGGAATCCCTCCCTCCCTCCCTCCCTCCCTCCCTCCCAGGGTGTGATGGAGATGACCTGAAACCATTTATACAAAAGCTCTTTGTAAGCTGCTAAGTGCTGGGCAGATGTTACTCCAGCTGTGAGTCAGGGATAGATCCCGGCTCCTGGGCCGCCTCCCCCATCCCCTCCCAGCGCCAGGCAGCTGTGGGCTCCAATGAGGCTAAGAAGTGTTCCTGATAAACTGCGTTTGGTGTTTTCCCATGATTGCAGTGGATGTTTCGACACCTGGACACCTTCCTCTTTCCTCGTGGCTCTGACAGGAAAACCAGGCTGAGACGGGCCAGGCTCAGTCAGGTCCCAGTTCCCAAGGAGGACCGCCCCCTGCCCCCACCCCCGCCCCTCCAGAACCAGGAAGGGGCCCGTAGGGAGACAGGAACGGGCTCTGCCTGGAAGGACGCAGCCCTCCCAGGTCCAGGAGGTCCTGCTCATTCCAGTCTGTCTGTCTTTCCATCCACCGTATCCCCAGGCTCAGTCTGTATTTGAAGAGTACAGAGCACTTCGACTCAGTCAAAAATCGGTTTGGAGACTACAAGGCCTTGCAGAAGAAAGAATGAGGGTTAAAAGTGAGGCCCCTGAAGCCAACCAGACCTGTTTACTAGCTGTGTGACCTTGGGAAAGTCGATCTGTGCTTCAGTTCCCTCCTCTGTAAAATGGGATCAGAACAGGACCAAGTCTTAGGGTTGTAATATGTGTAAAGTTCTCAAGGCAGCCCTCAGTCCCTAAGGGTTTGCTATTATTATCAAGGAGAGAGGATGCGGAAATGGGTGTTTATTGAAATAGCATTCATTCAAGCAAAAAGCATTTATGGAGCACCTACTGTGTGCTGGTGCTGGGGTGCTCAGTCCTGGCCCTCTGGGGGCCCTGAGGATGCTGTGTGTTCGGGGGCAGTAAGCAGGTGTAGCGACTGTGTGCTGCTAAGTGTGGGTGCCTCTTGTAAAGCCACTGCGCATCAGGCAGGGTGCACACCTGCAGAGGGCAGGTGCGCCCCTCCGGCCCTGCTTCACCACACCCACACCTCGCCCCGACCAAGATCAAGATCCGCTCGGTGGTGACTTGGCGGATTCCTGGGGTGGGGCGCGGGGTGGAGCAGGACCTTAAATACGAGGCCTGCGGGTCCTCCCCACTTCCTGCCGCACTTGCACTCCGTCGCCGTCAGTGAGTACGGTCTGGACCGGGTGGGGGGAGGGGTCGGCTGAGCCACCCCCTCTCCTAGCAGTCTGACCCCCAGACTGCCTGCCTGCGGGGGTCCTCCTTCATCGTCCTGTCTGTCTGTCTCTCCTAGTGCCGCCCTACACCATCGTCTACTTCCCGACCCGAGGTGCGGCCGCTGCTCCTTTAGGAGGGCGAAGGGCACAGACAGGGGCCCCAGCAGGACCTCCAGTCTGGACAGCCCGCGGCGGAGGCGGAGGCGGAGGCGGACGCTGAGGCGGAGGCGGGACCCCCCGGGGGGCGGGGCCGGGATCTCGGGCCCGGGCCTCATCCTCTCTGGGGCCAAGGGCGGGGCGCTCTATCCATCTGTCTCTGGTCCCTTCCTGGGGCGCTGTGGGCTGGGTCTGCCTCCCTGTCCTCGCCCCCCGCCCCCCCCAAGACACGCCGGGGGCTCCACCCTTTCTCCACGGTCCATCTGCTCCGCAGCAGGCTCGGAGGCTAGAGTTTGTCCTGTCCCCAAGTCCAGTTCCCATACTCCTGACTTCCCCAGGGCGCTGCGAGGCTGGGGTCTCTGCCCATCCCCACACCCCGTCCTCCCCCTCCCCCAGGGCGCTGCGAGGCCCTGCGCATGCTGCTGGCCGACCAGGGCCAGAGCTGGAAGGAGGAGGTGGTGACCAAGGAGTCCTGGTTGCAGGGCCCACTCAAGGCCTCCTGTGTGAGTGACTGTGCTGAGGCAGCAGTTGGGCCTTTATGGGACAGCACAAGGGTGCGGGGCAGCTGAGCTCAGCGTCCCTCACCGAGCCCTTCCCCCTCCCAGCTGTACGGGCAGCTCCCCAAGTTCCAGGATGGAGACCTCATTCTGTACCAGTCCAATGCCATCCTGCGACACCTGGGCCGCTCCTTTGGTGAGTCCTGAGGTCGAAGGCCGCCCAGTCCAGAAAAGCACCTGAAGGGTCCCTCCAAGATGTCCTGGGGCCTGAGTTGCTGCCACCGGTCCTGGGGCTGGAGGGCAGGCCACATGGCCCTAGAGGAAGGGGCAGGGCCTGGGTTAGGAGGGTTCTGGGTTATAGGGCTGGGGCTGCCGGTCCACCCGGGCAGGGGCCATACAGGTCTGGCTACCCTCCAGCTAGTCAGCACCACATGGGTTCACTGTGCCTGTTTCCTGGATGACAGCTCAGAGGCAGTCACCAGCCACCACGTGTGTGCTGCTATAGGCTAGAGCCGCTGTGGGTGTGCCCAGGAGCTTCAGAGTAGACCTCCTGCCCGTTTCTTCCTGCTCTGGCCTCACCTGAATCTGGAAAACCCATGCACACAGTGAGCAGGCCTGTGGCCTGTTTCAAGGGTGGCGGGAATGTGGCTTAGGGAGATGGCTGCCTCTTCATTGGCTATCTTGGTGGGGAGGGGGGGGTGTCCCAGGAGGACAGAAGAGCAGTGGGATGAGCCAGGCCCAGGCCCACCCTAACTACTGCAGCCCCAGGGTGAGAGGACAGAGGCCTCCAGCCGTGGCCTGCTTCCCCATCTCTCGCCCCACGCTCTCCTGCACTCAGAGGGACACACCAGTCTGCAGAGCCAAGTTCTGTCCAGGCCCCACAAACGGCCACTCCTCTGGCCTAGGGAAGCATGATCAGAGGCTTGGCCCACACTTGCAGGCGACAACCTGGAGGAAGGGATTGGGGCGATGTGGGCAGGGAATTTCTGACTCCCAGGGACCCAGGGTGTGGTCTCAAAGACAAGCATGGGCTTCTGCTGGGTATGTTCCTTGGGCTCGTGGAGATGGGAGCAGCAGAGTTGGGGAAAGAGGACTCTCCAACGCAGGGGACCTGGTTTCCCAGCCCTGAGGCCTGCAGGCTTCTGGGGGAGAGGGGAGCAGCGGGGCACCAGCCTGGACAGAACCTGACCCTCTGTCTGGCCGCTGACCCAGGGCTCTACGGCAAAGACCAACGAGAGGCAGCGCTGGTGGACATGGTGAATGACGGTGTGGAGGACCTCCGCAGGCACTGCAGCCACATCATCCATCACGGCCATGTGAGCAGGCTGGGCTTGCACTCAGGGCTGGGGCTGGGGGGCTGCCCGGGCCAGACATGCCACGGGCCGCCACGGCATCACTCCCTTTCACAGGAGGAGGACAAGGCCCAGTATGTTCTGGAGCTGCCGGGGCACCTGAAGCCTTTTGAGACCCTGCTGTCCCAGAACCAAGGGGACCAGACCTTCATTGTGGGCGACCAGGTGAGTGCTGAGTCCAGCCCGTTGTAGGTCCATTTCTCAGAAGGGCAAACTGAGACCAGAGCAGTGCCATGACTGGTTCACTGGAGTAGCCAGAGTTCTGGCCCCCAGTAGCCCCCCTCTCTCTTGACCACATTCAAACCCCCTCCCGCCCCCACCGATGCAGAGCGAGCACGTGAGCCATTGGTTCAGCAAAGCTGGGCAGACCAGGGGACCGGCTCGGGCTCCCTGCCTCGCACCTCCCACACCCACCGAGCCCCTGCCCCGCTCTGCCCTGCAGATCTCCTTCGCTGACTACAACCTGCTGGACCTGCTGCGGATTCACCAGGTCCTGGCCCCTGGCTGCCTAGACTCCTTCCCCCTGCTCTCGGCCTACGTGGTCCGCCTCAGCGCCCGGCCCAAGCTGCAGGCCTTCCTGGCCTCCCCGGAGCACGTGAACCGCCCCGTCTTTGGAAGCCGCAAGATATGAGCCCTCTTGGCCTCCCCTGGCAGACGGGCTGCCCTTGGGACCAATAAACACGGTGAGAGGAAAGCTGTGCTGTGGTCACTGAGGGACCGGGTGGCCACAGGGGGCCCTCTGCCCCTTCCCAGGCTGCGTCTCAAAAGATGAGGGCTGGGCTGGGCCCTGGAAAAGCCATAGGTCCCCAGAGCTGCCGGGAGACAAAGAGGAGTTCCAAGTCCAGAGAGAAAGATGAGATCCCAAACCTCAAAGATCTACCCTGGACAACTTCCTGCAGGAGGGGTTGACCCCCTCCAGGGGGTACTCATGTTTATGGCAACCTGGGAACCATCTCCATCTGGGAGAAGGGCCGCCATGTAGGGAACAGACAGTCCCTGACGTCTGTGTGATGAGTTCTGTCGTCCGGCACAGGCAGGGCGCTTGGTCTCTGCACACTCAGGTGCTGTGCACACATGCCGCTCGGGAGTGACACGCACGCTCGGGTGTTTCACCTGAGTGAGTGTTGATGTTGTCCATTCTCTTGTGTCCCCCACAGTCACCCGCAGGCAGGGCCCAGGTGTATGGCTGAAAGCAGACCTGGGAGCTCTGGGCGCATCATGCTGCTTGGGAAGCCGGGGGTGGGGGGCGTGGTCAAGGGTCTCCTCCCGGACCCTCTGTCAGCCCTTGGCGGGAGCACCCTGCCACCTGCCCGGTCCCAGCCCATCTCTCCCCTCCTGAAAGACTGTGACCGCCTCCTGCCTCCTGTGGCACCCTCAGCCTGTCCAGCCCCTCCCGCTGGCTCTTTGGAGTCAGATAATTCCAGAATGCCTGGCACTCCCAGTGCAGAGCTCTCATGGCTTCTTGCTGCCCTTCAGGCAAAGGCCACAGCCTGAGGAGCCTGCCAGGCACTCCTAGAAATGAACTCTTCGGTCGCCAGAACATTCCCCACCCCCCTGCCCGGTTCACCCTTAGAGCTGCTCTCAGCTCTCTGGACAGCCCAGCCCTCCCGCCCCTCCCAGCCTTTGTCCCCGTGGCCTCCTCCGGCCCCCCACTCTCCCCGCCACCCCAATGGCCACGCCCCTTCAGCCCTCAGCTCACTGCCCCTCCGCTGTGGCCAGGTGCCCTGGGCACTTCCCCCTCTCCTGTAGCTCCGCTCTGTGGGGTCTGGCCTGCCTAGTGGTCTCGGCTCCAACCGTCCTCCTTTGAGGTCAGAGAGCCGATCAGGTTAATTTCTGTCTCCCCCGCCCCCAGGTGAGGTGCTGACTTACCTTTACCCGTCAGGAAATGGGTGTGCAAACACCAGCAAGAGCTGCCTCTTTGTGTCTGGGACACTCTACCTCCATGGGGGAGGCCGCAGGGCCTCAGTAGTGCCCCCCTCACCCCCATCAACCGAGCCTGTTTCATAAGGTCTCCTATCACAGGCCTGTCCCAGTTCACAGACCTGGTGGCCCTGCTCCATTCTTGCCCCATACTAGGGACTTCTCGCACTTAATCCCCTCAAGGGAGGAAACCCAAACTCAGAGAGGGAAGGCAACTTGTCCAAGGCCACACAGCTTATCAACGGGAGAGCTGGAATTCAAACCCAGGGCTGAGGAACTCCTAGGCGGTCCTCGGAAAGGGAGGAAGGGAGGGGGCTGGGGCCAAAGGAGTGGGCAGGAGGCCATTTTCAGGAGCAAGAGTGACTTGGGCCCAGGCAGGTGCCAGATGCTCCGGCGGGTGGGCAGGGGCACTGGTGGCCACTGTGGAGGCCTTGCCTGCCAGGCCAAGGACTTGGTGTTGACCCCGGGGCACAGGGGTCACTGCAGGCTTTTGAACAGAAAGGAGGACTCTTAGAAATCTGAGCCTGTAAGTGCTCAGGGAGCCTCAGGCATCACCTAAGTCTACACACTCACCTTACAGACAGGGAAACAGAGGCCTGGAGAGCGGAATGACTTCCCAGGTTCATGGGCAAGTGAGTGGGTGGGCCGTGGGGATGTCCTGGGCCTGATGCTCCTGGTCTGGATGCCTGGCTGCCCCTTAAAGGAGCCTTTGCCTGAGAGACTCCAGCAGGGTGAAGAGGGTCTTTTGTGCATTAGATTTGGGGGGCTGGTGGGCAGCTTTGGTTTCTTTGGGTGGGAAACCCCCAGGAAGGCCCACTGGTCTCCGAGAGGACGGCGTAGAACCTGAGCCCGCATTGCCCTGGAGGCAGAGATTGGGCCACGGGGGTTCACGGCACAGGTGGAGGGGACAGTGGCCAAGCGAGTCCACAGAGCAGGCTTGGGGGACACGCGGGCTTCCTGCAGGTCTTGGGACAGTGGGAGGAAAGTTACTCTTTTGAAAATTTCCTGGGGCTTCCTTGGTGGTCCAGTGGTTAGGACTCCATGCTTCCACTGCAGGGGGCGTGGGTTCGCTCTTTGGTCAGGGGACTAAAGTCCCACATGCCGTGCAGTGCGGCCCAAAAATAAATTTTAAAAAAAAGAAAGAAAAAAAACTTCCTGCAACCAACTGCTTCCACATTCTTTGGGGTGACTGGGCTGAGTGTTTTTGATTGTGCAGCTCCGTGACCCCAAGAAGGTGGCTAGAAGAGGCCCCTGCCGCTGAGAGGAGGGACTCCGGGGACTGGCAGGGCCCCAGTTTGGGCATCTGGTGTAAGCTGGTGCAGCAAGGATGGGGGTGATGAGATCACCAGGTGGGGGAGAGACTGGGAGCCCCTCCAGCTGGAGAGGTGACAAGTGACCCCGGGACTGAGCTTCCTCCAAGCAATGCCCCAAGCATTTTATATATATTTACTCATTTAATCCTCACAAAAGAATCCACCTAGTGGATGCTATTAATATCCCCATTTTACAGATGAGGAAATCGAGGCAGGGAGAGGTGAAGTAACCTCCTCAAGGACATGCAGCTGGTTACGAGGCCAAGCCAGTTTTCGAACCCAGGCTCTCTGGCCTCAGAGCCTGCGCTTGTAACAACTCTCCCAGCTTGAACCAGAGTGGCTGCAGTTACCAGCAGGCAGCTGGTAACTCTGGTGACCCCACCCTAATTATAGGGGGACAAGAACCCTAAGAGAAAGGTTAGGCTTCCACCCTCTCAGGGTGGAAGTGGGACAGGTTCCAGTATAGAGGCTGGAACATTTAAAGACTGGTGACTGGGTTTGCTCCCCAGCTTGGGAGGAGGGACGTGGCGGTTACAGACTCAAAACACCGGTCCTCCTGGGAGCTCCTGGTCCTTAACCGGCTGCTGCTGGGTCAGAAGAGGTGGAATCTAGGGTGCTGGCATCAGTTTCTGCAAGGGTTTGCCCTTTAGTGGCAGCTCTGGGACTCAAAAGAGTCTCCCCTGGGGTACCAGCCTGGGGAGGGTGGGGATGAGGAGTGCAGGCAGTCACCCCAGACCTCAGGGGTAGAACCGGGGCTGCTTTGAGGCCTCGAGTCCGGGTCTTGGCCCGTGGGCCTCGCTGCCCAGCCATGCCAGAGGCTGCGGGAATGTTAGCTCATTCATAAGTCCTTCTTAGCCTTGTCTCTGGCCTCCACCACCTTCTCCTGGCTCTGTCAAGGTCCCGGCTGGCTCTGGTTTGGGCTGCCTTCCCCCTCTCCAGCCCACTTGGTGAGCTGCCGGCGGGCTCTCTTCCCTACCCTGGAGGTCGGAACCCCTGGCTGCCCTTCCCCAGATGTACAACCTCTCTGGGCCCGTTTCCTCTTCTGACATTCTGGGCAGTCACAAAGTGCCACACTGTTTACCAAGCACCTTCTATGTGCCAGACACTTAGCGGCTCTTAAAACTTCCATTTTACAGGTGAGAAAACTGAGGTCGTCAGAGCTGGAATTTGCACCCAGGCAGACTGCCTGCCAAGCCTGCATTTTTCCCTAAGAGCCCCAGAAAATGCTCTCAAACGTGCTCTGGACGAATCTAGTCATCAGCGAAGTGGTTATTTAAAATGTTAATGTTAGTACAATGTTAAATATCCTGATTGCAATCAAGTCAAAGCCACAGGAATTTTAGAAGCAAGAGTACAGATCACGTCCAACCACTGGCCTGCTTTGCTGTTTGCTTTCATGGCTGAGAGGCTGGAAACCAGCTCTGCAAACATGCGGAGATGAAACCAGGGTGAGCATGAACAACTGGGAGGCTCCACTCACCGACCCTAGGGAGACGTTTACCCCCAAGAACTGCTGAAGTTTGTCCAGGAAGTGCTTTTGGCAACACCGCTTGAACTCCAGATCTTCCCACTGGAAGACTTTGTTTGGACCCGGGGTGCCTTGGCATCTCCAGATGGGATTTTCCACAAGGTCAGGAAGATATAGCCCAGGATCCCGCGAGCTTTGCCTGCTGTCCCTTCAACTTATTTGCATGAGCCTTGTGCTTAAGAGAAGCACCCAGGGGAGAAAATAAAACAAAGGCTTTTGGCTCACCCATTGGCTGCATCCATGACTGTGTTCTGGCTCAAAAGGGTGTCAACAATGAGAAAGTGGTGGCTTCTCAAAGATTCAGGCTCAGTACGTTTAAGTCTTCAGATAGACCTACGGATTAGGCCACACCTATGGAAAGTTACCATTTTGAGAGTTTGAAGCAGTGGCTTTTTCCTGTTATTCCAAAAATAGGGCAACTGGGACTTTGGCTCATAAATTCGGCCAAGGCAGAGTTAGACACACAACTGGGATGGCCGCTCAGCTCTGACCTGGCAGTATCCGTGTGCATCTCCTCCTCCAACCCTGCCAGCCCCCATCACCCCCTGCCGGTACCAGGCCCTGTCCTCCAGACACATGTGACCCAAGCCCAGCTAGTCACCAAGCCCCAGCCCCAGGCACAGTGGATGGTCCAAGGTGTGAGCCCTCGCAGGGAGCTGGGCCCATCAGAGTCCCCCCCTGACCCATCCTGGACAGCGCTGGCCAGGCACCAGGAGCTCCCTCTGCGACCAGAGCTTTCTTTTCTGTACAAGAGTCTGTGAGGATGTGACTTTGGAGTAGACTGTGGGGTTGGTTACAACTGAGAGAGTGGAGCCTGTGTGTGTGTGTGTGTGTGTGTGTGTGTGTGTGTGTGTGAGAGAGAGACAGAGA